AAAGAATCGAGAAGCATCCTGAGAAAGGTTCAGACAGTCTTGTTTTTGTAATTTCTGATTCCCCCATGTATCATAGGATTTAATAGTTTAGTTATTGAATAATGATGTCACTTTACATTTAATAAACTGTTTCAAATTTGATAAATATATATAACATGCTATGAAACTTTAGCTTTCAGACTGATGAAGAGTTGCCACATCATTTTGTTCTTCTCATGAAGAGCTGTTACATTGTTTGTTTTGTGTCTCTGATGAAGAGTTGTCACAGTGTTTTGTACTTCTCATGAAGAGTTAACACACTGTTCTCATGAAGAGCTGTTACATGTTGTTTTGTACTTCTGATGAAGAGCTGTTACATTGTTTGTTTTGTGTTTCTGATGAAGAGTTGTCACATTGTTTTGTACTTCTCATGAAGAGTTGACACACTGTTTTGTACTTCTGATGAAGAGCTGTTACATGATGTTTTGTATTTCTGATGAAGAGCTGTTACATGTTGTTTTGTACTTCTGATGAAGATTTGTCACATTGTTTGTTTGGTGTTTCCGATGACGAGCTGATACGTTGTATTGTGCTTCTGATGAAGAGCTGTTACATGTTGTTTTGTACTTCTGATGAAGGGCTGTTACATGTTGTTTTGTACGTCTGATGAAGGGCTGTTTTCGGGTCCGAAACCTAAGTTTTTAATACATTTTTATGCATTAATGGTTCAGATAAGTTTGAGAGCCCCAACTCTAGAATTCAAGTTTCGATCCCTGCCATGGGAACAGCAAAGATAACCCATTGTACTACCTTACACCTAACAACAAGCAAAAAAAACATACATGGATCTAATCGTCGTGGAAATTATTTTGGTTTAGAGCCACGCGTGGTTAGAAATTTAGATTTCTCTTCGCCCCAACATATTTCTAAATTATGACCATTTTCTTTAAATAATAGTCATTAACATTCTAGTTTGTTTAGTTTTTTTTTGGATACTTTACTGGCTCAATTTTTGGAGCGATTCAGAAGCTTTAAGAATAACAAATAAAAAATGCCTTCACAAAATGTCACTCACAAATGAGAAGAAATGTTTTTTCAGCACTTGCTTAATACTTTGGATTACATGTAATACATGTACTTTAATACATGTAGAAGGCTGAACACGTGATTAGATTTGTTTAGATTATTACCTATAGAAATGGACAACTACTGTTTTTTGAAAATTGCTTTTGACCAATAGGAGTTTCATTATGATTTTTGAGCGATAATGCCATGCTAACATATACAAGAGAAGCCTATTATGCAAAATATTTTCAACTGTTACTGCAAGTCTCCCTTATTAATGTGTAGCTTCGCAGAAAATCCCGAAACAAGCAAACTCTTATCAATGTGCAACAGTAATTTTAACATGTAACATCTACTTTTAACTCTGTACCTTAAATCTTGTGTTATGTCATTTACAAGCTTTTTTACACTTTCTTCAGAAGGTGGAAAGTTTTGAAACGTTCTTTTCCAGATGCTGTGAATAAGATGTCAGTTAAATAACGAGACTTCAGTGGAATGTTTTTTTTTATCATAAGGTAACAGTGAACTGACGTTGCTAGGGTTTCCAGGATCTGACCTACTTCATCACAGGCTATCGTCTTCTGATATCTAAATATCTAGGTTACTCTCTGCAGCAGTGTTGATCGGAAAGAAATACACAAGAGAGAATCTGGTCTACAGGTGCCCAGGGACGTGTGTTCTAATTTGAAAAACCTGAAACATGTCAGGAAAATCTCACCTCTATATATTTCTTCGACTTTACAGAAGGTAGAACAGAATGTTACAAAAACTTCAAGGTGACCCTAATTGTCTCTTTAAAACAGTTATAACACTATAACAGTTGGGCTCATGATGTTCTACATCGCTTATTAATGATAATAAAAGAATTGGGGTCATGATGTCCTACACCACTTATTAATGGTCTTCAAACAATTGGGGTGATGATGTCCTACACCACTTATTAATGATGCTGTGATAGATGGGGTGATGATGTCCTACACCACTTATTAATGATGCTGTGATAGATGGGGTGATGATGTCCTACACCACTTATTAATAATAATATAACAGTTGGGGTCATGATGTCCTACACCACTTTTTAATTATACTATAACAGTTGGGGTCATGATATCCTACACTGCTTACTAGTTATACTATAACAGATGGGGTCATGATGTCCTACACTGCTTATTAATTATACTATAACAGATGGAGTCATGATGTCCTATCATTAACGATAAAAAACTGTATATTTTAAACATTTCAAGTTTGTGATTATATAAAAACAAAAATATGTTAAGTTTGTTTCAGAATTTCGCTTAAAGCTACGCTAAGTATATCTACGCATAACTTTCTCGAATTTTAAACTGATAAATTAGGAAGAAGGCAATTAGTTCGACAGCACCCGCCACCAAATCTTGGACTGCCGTTGTCCGATTGAATAGTGGGATTTGACTCTCACTCTTATAATTTGCGGTCCTAAAGTGTGATGTGAATTATGGTGACAACGGGTCACGTACAGTTAATATTCAGGTTATCAATCTTGGAATATAACCACTACGTCATTCATAACCCAAGTCTCTTAAGAGCTACATATATTCGGTTAGTCTTATTTCCTTTTACCAAGTTCAGTCTAATCATAGACGCTTTTATATTCTTTATTTTTATGAACTTCCAACTTAAAAGTGCTTTTTACTCAGAGACTCGGTTGATCGTATCACCGGTACTGTAGTACTTATAGTAGAAATGGGGCGGATACACAATACATGCAATACAAACTATTTACTTATATACACCTTTAACAACTAAATAATAAACCTTCAAAAGTACTTGAGAGAAACACGTAGGTGATTAACAAGCCACATGCAAAATTACAAGTCACAGAACAACTAGAGCAAATCAGCAGAGCAGATACAAAAAAATCACAAAACCACAAATTTCTCAAACTCACAGACTGACTGACATTGTTGAACACTTCTAGCTGTGTAACAAACAGAGACTTACCATATTTATAAGATGATAAAGGTTATAAGTTTGAGGTAATAAAAATTGTCCCAGTAATTATAGACCCATTAGTCTTACATCAGTTGTGGGAAAAGTTTTGGAAAGTCTGTTCAAAGATGCTTTACAAAGTCATTTAACAAAGTTTAGAATTTTATTGGATAGTCAACATGGTTTCATTAAGGGAAAATCTTGCCTTACAAATCTTTTGACATTCTTTGAAAATGTTATTGCTTATGTAGATGAGGGTAAGGGTGTAGATTTGGTGTATTTGAATTATCAGAAAGCATTTGACAAGGTGTAACATAAAAGGGTTGTAAAAAAATTATCTTTATAAGCGTGGGAGATAAGTTAGCAAATTGGATAGAAGAGTGGCTGGATGGAAGAAATCAGATGGTTGTTACAAATGGAGTTAAGTCAAACTGGATTAATGTCACAAGTAGGGTACCTCAGGGCTCAGTCTTAGGACCTTTGCTATTTTTTATTTGAATCAATGACATAGATGAAGGAACAGTCAATAAATTATTTAAATTTGCAAATAATGTTAAGTATTTGGTGTTGCTAGCTGTGAAGAGGATGCTGCTGATTTACAAAAGGATTTAGATCATTTAGTGAGTTGGGCAAATAAATGGCAGATAGATTTTAATTATAATAAATGCAAGATAATACATGTGGGTTATCATAATTTGAATTATAAATATAATTTGAATGGGAATAACCTTAACAGTGTTATGAAGGAAAGAGATCTTGGTGTGATAGTCAATCAGTCTCTAAAGACATCCAAGCAATGTGCTGTTGCTAGTTGTAAGGCACATAGGATTTTAGGTTGTATGTACGGAAATATTGAACATAAGTCTAAAGAGATTGTAATTTCATTGTACATGTCACTGGTTAGACCACATTTGGAATATTGTGTTCAGTCTTGGATTCCCTACCTTAGGAAAGACATTGAATTATTGGAAAGGGTTCAGAGAAAGATTACTAGAATGGTACCTGGGATAGAGGGGTTGTCATACGAGGAGAGGCTTAAATATCTCAAATTGTTTTCCCTTGAAAAAAGAAGAGTTAAGGGGGATCTGATTGAGATGTTTAAGACTGTAAAGGGAATTGATAGTGTTGATGTATCATCTTTTTTTCATATTTAACAGTGAAAATAGTAGGACTAGGGGACACAAATATAAATTTTGGCAAGATAGGAGTCATCTTCAGCTAAGACACTTTAAGTTTTCAAATAGGGTGGTTGGCCTTTGGAATGGGTTGCCTTCGGATGTTGTAGAGGCAGTAAATTTAGTCTCACATGGTATATAACAGTTTTACAGTTTAGTCTCTCAACAGTGATATCCACAATGGTTGTATAGCAAGAAACATGTTCCATGATAAGTTAGAGACTAATGTGGTATATAAAAGTTTTACAAGTTGTTCTCTCAACAGTGATATCCAATATGGTTGTATAGAAAGAAATGTATTCCATGATAAGCTGTAGAATAACATGATATATATCAGTTTGATCTCTCAACAGTGATATCCAATATGGTTGCATAACTAGAAGTGTAATCCATGATAAGCTGTAGAATAACATGATATATATCAGTTTGATCTCTCAACAGTGATATCCAATATGGTTGTATAACTAGAAATGTAATCCATGATAAGCTGTAGTCTAACATGGTTTGAAAGAATTCTGCACGTTCTTAAATAATACAAGTTTAGCTACATAGCTAAAATTTACATATTTATGAGATACAGTGTGAAACAGTGTTTAAAAGCTACATATCAATACTGAACTGAACTTACTTTTACCATTGATGGAGGAAGAACCACCTTCAAGAAGTGTCTTAGGTTTTGTTAATTGTGTTAATACCAATACAACTAGAATTGCAAGATATTTTTTCTCTGTCACAAGGATTAATTTTTGTACATTACAATGTTTAACTCTCTTGAAAATCAAATAAGTGTACTTTTTTCTGCAGGGAGACAAAGGAAGAATGGGGGTGGTTGTAGCATCTTATATGCACTATAGCAACATATGTGCCAGGTAAATGGTTTTAACTAATGCTTTGTGATCTTTGAAAAAAAAATGTAATAGAATGTTTAGTGCATGCATCAATACAATGTGGAAGGTTGGGAATGGATTATTTACTTATACAGTTCCCAAAAATTGTTGTCATTGTAGAAAAACAATAAATGTAACATGTAAAGTCACCATTAACAAGAACATCTAGCTAATGGCTAGCATTTTCACCTTTTGTTCCAATGGTTCTGAGAGTTCAAATCCCCACTATCAGCTATAAACGTGCTGTTGGATTAGAGCTTGGTAAAAATTAGATTAGCTAGAAGACTGAAAAAAGAGAGAGAAAGCAGTTGTAGGCTACTCATTAATGTTAACCATGTCCTGGTTCATACATCAGGATAATACAGAAGTTTTGCTTCATCCATAAAGGATGTAATGGAACATCTGGGTGTACAACAGTAAAATACAGAAAGATGGGATTTGACCTGTAAAAGATGTAACTTAATTCTTAGCTATACGTCAATACAGTATAGAAATAAGTTAGTGCATTCTAGATTAGACATGTGAATGAAATAATTACCTGAAAAGTTAATGAATTAATTACTAATTTTTATGAATTAAAACTTGCATTTCTATTTGTAAATTTTTAGTGCTGACCAAGCTCTAGATAGATTTGCTATGAAGAGATTCTATGATGACAAACTATCGATAGGAATGCATCCTTCACAGAGAAGGTAAGCTACGATTTTAGCTGAAGTTGTATATGTATCAACTTAAAAACAGTTCTTGATCCACAAGTGTCGTTTGAGTAGTTGAGGTTTCTGTAGTAAAGAATACATCCATTATTGGTTTAAGGAAAAACATATCTGAATAATACTATTCTGGTAGTTTTTAATATAAAAATTTGCACACTAAGACTCATTAAAATTCAGAATCTTATATAATTTTTCTGTCACAACCTAAGACTGCCTTTTAGTATAATTACAGCTAAGAACTGAGAAGTTTAAATATTAGTTGTGGTCTTGTGTGATGTATGGTAATGTACTAAATAATAAGTGAGCATCAAGACATCAGCCATGTACCTCTAATGAATAAAACAGTCCTCATCCTCAGCTCTGGGCTTTTAATGTTTCACTAAGAAGAGAAGTCATTGAAATTCTAATTTTAATACGACTTTCCCTGTGATAGTTCTTCTGACAATGATTAAAATTATCAAATATTTATGAACTACAGGGTTCTTCACTTTTGTTTACAGCTTCAAGTCTTAGGAGATTAGTGAAGTTGTGAAATGGTAGTGATATATGGCCATACTAGCATTCAATTATAATAATATAATAAAAATCCCATTATTTTTTGTCTGGTTGTAGGTACGTACACTACTTTGCTGGCCTTCTGTCTGGAGCAATTAAGATGAACAACAGTCCTTTGTATCTTCATCATATTATTGTTCATGGTATTCCAAATTTTGACTTCAAAGGAGGTAGGTTCAATATTCACTTGTATCATCTAAACTGTGTTACATGTTTTTGATATGTAAAGTGAACTCATAATGAATAATCTTTAAATGGTATTTGGTTTTTCAGATTTTCACACAAAACTACATAAAGGGCTATCAGCACATTTTTGAAATGATAGACTAGAGAAAAGGCAGCTGTAATAGCTGATCAATGTAAAGAATAAAATTATTTATAAAATAATGGAAAATAAAGAATAAAAAACTTTTCTTGGAAGACTTAAACTATGGAAATCAGATAAATAAAATAATCAAGAGTTTTCCATTAGTTTTGAATAGTGTTTTCTTGAAATACATATGTTACATTAAGTCCTGTTCACATTTCAAATAAATAATTTGATTTGATTAATATGTTCAATAATATTTGATCCATAAAAAACTTGAGGCTTAATGTGAACTTCTGATATAATAAATACAAATGTTCATAATCTGGTTAACACTGTATTACATTTTGCCATCCTGTAGGATGCAAACCTTTCATCAAGATCTACCAAGGCATGCAAGCAGTCTACACTTCAGGAGTGTAGTAAGTGTTATATAATTAAAAAATGATTTTTTTTTACCTGTCGTAACAAATCTGCAGCTAAAAATTTATTTTCTTAAGTATTCATTTTATACATTTTTTTCTTAAGGGATGCATTTAAAAGAGGTATAAAAAAGTTAGCAAATTAATTTGATAAGGGTGACCTGAAGATGAGTTATTGCATGATGTTTTAAGACCAAGAAACTTTTATATTTTTAAAACATTTTATTTCTATTTGTGTGCGTGTTCTTTTCTTCCACATATATAAAAACAATAATACATCGAACAGTTATTTTCAGATGACTGAATTAAATGATCTAAGTCTCTTTTTTTTTTTCAAAACAGTAAAAACCTTTTGAATTGTTCAGGAAAGAACAGAAGGTTGAGAACATAATATTAAAATGTTGAACCACAGCCAGTATAAAGTAGTGGTGGAATGGCATGTATAAGATCTAAATTTTGACATTAGTTGGCACTTTGTACGTAATGTGATGCCATTGAAAATTGATCGCTTTGTGGAAGGGTATAATGATAATTTTTTTCTGATGCAAAATGTTCATACACTCAGATCATATAGATATGTTCAGATTGGAGATTTAGAAGTTCTAAGACAGGGATATTCCTTATACTTAATGGCACTAGAAAACATAGGAATGTGGACTAACCTGGGGCACTAGAACCAATCGAAATGAAACATGTAACAAGTTGTACCCCAGCTGTGGTAAACAAAGTGTGGCATTTTGTGACAAATGAAAATCTACAAACACAAAGGTCAGTGGCAAAAAAACACCCATGCATCCCAAACAACAGTACACAACATATCAAGAAGGTTCTCTGTATGGAAAAGCAACACAAGTCACATGTATGCAAATTTCTTCCATGACATGTCAATTCAACTGTCACATACCTCAAGCAGCTGGAGAATGAAATGGGCATTCATCTTATCTTATACGACAATATACTGGTCAAATCTTCAGATGTAGCACCAATGAATTTCAGTTCAATTGCACTGTTGAAGTGGGAGCTTGGAAATTGTCATTCTCATACACTAGATGGGTTATTTATATAAAACTGTAGGGAGGAGGGGTATCTTTTAAATGTAAAAGCCTAATGACAGATACTTTTGCAACCACAACTATGCTACAGGACTATTGCCAAATGCACAGTCATCAGGTAAAGCATGACCAGATATAGTGACATGGGATGTAATGATGTGGTGAGGTTCCAAAATCATTTTACTACAACATGCTCAATCTCTGTACTAAAGTTCAACTAACTGGATTATGTTTTATAAAACTAACACTTTTACTGTTAAACCATAAAATGTGTTTTTCAAAAATTTCAGGGCAATATATTTAATGATGTTTGTAAAATAAAAACAGATCTTGACCACTGTTTTTCATCTTGGAATAAAAATAGAAAGCTACACTAATGATGGTAAATAGGAAGTCATTCTAATAATGAACACAATAAGCTAAATTCCTGAAGCTATGATACTGATAATAAATAGGAAGGTAGGTATGCTACTGATATAAAACAGGAAACTACACTACTTATATCAAACAGGAAGCTATGCTACTGACTAAAAACATAGAGCTGTGATAATTTCAATTTTCTTATTACTTTCTCATCTCTGATTCAAACCAGCTTCTCGCACACCTTATGAAAGCTATACTAAGTGAACTAAAGGGATAACCCAATAGCACTCATTAGTAAGGCACTTTTTAACAACTCAAACTACCACAAACCTACATTAACAATATAAAATAGAAAACTATGATACCAATTGACAACATGAAGCTTCATTACTGATATAAATGAGGAAGCTATGCTACCAATATAAATCGGATGCTACTGGTTGAAAACAAAAAGTTATGTTATTGATAAAAAATGGCAAGCTACAATACTGAACTGATCATCTCAAATCCAACTTTTACTTGTGGATGTTTTAAAGCTTAATAGACTGGATGGTAAATGCCAAAAAAACATTTTACATAATAATATTAGCAACTTTTTAAGGTAGAAGTTGGTAATTTAACTTTTCTGTTCAAGTTTAGGGTACTGATTTCAAAAACTTTGTGTTACTATAGAAGTTAGACAGGCTCTCATTCAAAGACTCGTTTTGCCAGCTCCCAGAGTTAGTGAAGAAGATCATTGCTGAAAATTAGTTGTAATCAAATACTCTCAACACTATGTTCATGTAATTTACATTCTGAGTAGATACCTGGACAACTTCTAATTAAATATTTGACTGTGTACAGTATATATACCATCCAAGTAAATATATGCAACACTGTAGTAAATAAGACCTAAAGTATCGTTTAGCAAATGTCATCTATTATACTTGAAATATGTGTGTGTGTGTGTGTTGTTAAATGTTAGAAATTTCTCATACATACAAGATGACTGATGTTCTAATACCAAAACTGTAGAATCTTACTGCATATAGTACTCATTTCTAACACCAAAACTGTAGAATCTTACTGCATATAGTACTCATTTCTAATACCAAAACTGTAGAATCTTACTGCATATAGTACTCATTTCTAACACCAAAACTGTAGAATCTTACTGTATATAGTACTCATTTCTAATACCAAAACTGTAGAATCTTACTGCATATAGTACTCATTTCTAACACCAAAACTGTAGAATCTTACTGCATATAGTACTCATTTATACCAAAACTGTAGAATCTTACTGCATATAGTACTCATTTCTAATACCAAAACTGTAGAATCTTACTGCATATAGTACTCATTTATACCAAAACTGTAGAATCTTACTGCATATAGTACTCATCTTGTATCATCTCATTTCTCTTAATTTGCTAATATTGAAGTCTCTTTATGCAAAAATGTACAGCTGGAATAAAAGTGGGTGTATATAGTATAGAAGAAGGCGTTAAGGATGTGATTTTCTGTCATTTGTACCATATATGCCTATATACAAAATAACAAACAGTATCTCAACACTAATTAATTGCATTTAAATAATGTTTGCTGGTTACTTTACTTTATGCATTTTCTTTCCTTAAACATCATTTTCTTGATTGGTAACATAGACCTTCATATCCAGCACACCCAAATTGACCAAATAAGGTATGTTACCTGTATTTATGCCAAAATGTCCTAAGAAGTCTGCTTTTACCAATATCTATCCAGTCTATAATTTGGTGATGTGGACAACTCCATACAAATTGAAATTTGTTTCTAAAAATATGTGGATTCTATCAAGAATTTTAAAATGTCATTCATCTACAAGGAATTTTGGACCTTTTGATAAACATAATTTGTACATTAGACATGAAACAGTCACTGCTACTAGGAACCAGATTTTAAAATACTGATATATTTATAGATATATTTTATTTGTCATCAAGCTTACTTACTTAACTATACATAAAAACTGTGAATATATATATTTTGTAAGATCTAATTTCATATGTTTTTTTTTGAAAAGACTTCTATCCCTTAAAGGTAAAGTGTGTACAATAATTTTGTAACCAGTATCTAATTTTTTCACAGTACTGCCACTGAACGGGCCAAGCGTGTGATTTTAACTCTTGACCCCAGCCTACCCTTAAGAGGAGACATACTTGTAAAGTGTTACCACAAGAAGCAACGTTCCTCTGGGAGGTCTGTTGTTTTCAAGGTTCAATTTCATACTTGCACTTTGGACAGTGACACTCTTGTTTTCAGAAAGGATGGTTTGGATGAAGCTTCAACAGGTGAGTAGTAAAGAAATCACAGAAAGGATAGGGGTTGGCCCACAGAAGTAAATCTAAATGAAAATACATCATAAATATGTATATATATATATATATTTGTTTTTTCCTCCCATAATTTTGTCTAATATTGAAAGTTAAAGTGTAATTAACTTTGGATTTTTAACTAGTTATATATCCAATTTTTTCTACACTTAAAACTTTTGGGTATAATTTAGCTTTGCATTTGTCTTCTAGATTCCCGCTTTCATGAAGAAGGAAGAGTAGAATTCCAGTTTTCTTATAGTCCAGACAATTACAGAGGTATGCTACTCTTCTAACAGCAGTCTCAAGTAAATAAGCTTTTCGTCTGATTGTATATCTTTTGCTTTTGTTAATTGTTATATATCTATGTAATATATTTGTAGTCAGTTGACTGAAAGAGATTTTTAAGTCAAACATTTCTATTTGGTTTCTTGCTAGGAAATGGTTCAATAAAAGATGCTATGATGCCTGTGGATAACACCGGGGACCCTGTAGTCAGATGGGATTCCTATGAGAATTTCTACCTTGCTCCAACAGATTCAGTACATGGTAATAAGTATATAATAAGTAGTGAAATACAACGTTTTTGGACAACATTAGACTTATTGGTCCATCTTAACTGTTCCATCCTCTAAACTAAACTAAAACTATTAATATATATATATATGTATTTTTTTTTAAATCTTAAATCCAGCCCTTATCAAGCTTTTTCTTAAACTTACTTAAATTTATTGCCTCCACAACATCCGAAGGCAACCCATTTCAAAGGCCAACCACCCTCTTAGAAAAATAAAACTATCTTAGCTGAAGATGACTCCTACCTTGCCAAAATTTACATTTGTGTCTCCTAGTCCTACTATTCTCACTGTTAAATATGAAAGAAGATGATGCATCAACACTATAAATTCCTTTTACAATCTCAAACACCTCAATCAGATCCTCCCTAACTCTTATGACAACCCTTCCATCCCAGGCACCATTCTAGTAACCCTTCTCTGAACCCTTTCCAACAATTCAATGTCTTTACTAAGGTAAGGAACCCAAGACTGAACACAATATTCCAAATGTGGCCTAACCAGCAACCTGTACAATGAAATTATAACCTCTTTAGACTTGTATTTAGTAGTTCTGTAGAAACAACCTAAAATCCTATTTGCCCTACCACTAGCAACGACACACTGCTTGGATGGCTTTAGAGACCAATCGACTATTACACCAAGATCCCTTTCCTTTATAACACTGTTAAGGTTATTGCCATCCAAATTATACTTATAATTCAAATTATGATAACCCACATGCATTATCTTCCATTTATTATTATTAAAACCCATCTGCCATTTATTTGCCCAACTCACTAAATGATCTAAATCCATTTGTAAAGCAGCAGCATCATTTTCATAGTTAGCAACACCAAAGACCTTAATATCATTTGCAAATGTTAGCAATTTATTGACTATTTCTTCATCTATGTTATTTATTTAAATCCAAAAGAGCAAAGGTCCTAAGATGGAGCCCTGAGGTACCCCACTTGTGACATTAATAAAGTTTGACTGAACTCTATTTGTAACAACCCTCTGCTTTCTTCCCTCCAGCCACTCTTCTATCCAATTTGCTAACTTATCCCCCCACACCTATAAAGATAATTTTTTTTACTAGATTTTTATCTGGCACCTTGTCAAATGCTTTCTGAAAATCTAGATACACCAAATCTACACTCTTATCCTCATCTACATAAGTAGTAACCTCTTCAAAGAATATCAAAAGATTTGTAATCAAGATATTTCCTTAGTGAAACCATGTTGACTATCCATTAAAATCTCTAAACTTTGTTAAATGACTTTGCAAAGCATCTTTTATCAGACTTTCCAAAACTTTTCCCACAACTGATGTAAGACTACTGGATCTATAATTACTGTACAGTTTTTATCACCTCCCTTGAAAAGAGGAGTTACATTAGTTAACTTCCAATCCTCTGGTACCTGCCCCCAAAAAATAGTAGCAAGTGGCTCATATTTCCAATCTTTAACCTCCTTTAAAACCCTTGGAGAAATATTATCTGGCCCAGGAGCCTTATCATTCTTTAAACTTCCCAATTTTTTCTTAACCAGCTCAGAATTAATGCAGTCATCTTGTTTGATCTTGTTTCCATCTATCAACTGTTCAAGATGTAGAATACTGCTTAAAACTTCATTAGTTAAAACCGAAGAAAAAAGCATAGTTTAATAACCCAGCCATCTCATAATCATCAGATACAAGCCTTTCTTTATCATCCTTCAAGGGTCCTACCCCCCCCCCCCCCATCCTAACATTTTGCTTACTCTTAGTGTATTTAAAAAAATCCTTACTGTTACTTTTTACATTTTCAGCCAACCTTTTCTCATTCACCCTTCTTGATGTCCTAATTTCCTGTTTCACTAATTTCTTGATCTTCTAAATCTCCTGTTGTACCAGTCAATTTAAATTTCTTAAATTTATGATGCTTTTCTTTAATTTTATCTCTTGTACTCTTTGTGAACTAACCTGATTTTTTACTTGCAGCTACCCTTTTCTTTCTATAAGAAATATGTTTACAATGAATATTTAAAAATTTATCTTTAAACATTTTCCACATCTGATCAGTGTCTCCAAATAATTCAGCTGCCCAATTCACAAAAGATAATTCTTGTCACATCCCTTCAAAATTTGCTTTTTGAAATTTGTAACCAAAATTTCATTATTCCTTATCTCCATATGCAGCAAAACATTGAACCTAATAGAGCAATGATCACTTGCATCCAGACGTTCCCCAATTTCCACCCTGTCGATCAATCTGTATTTGAAGTTAACAATAAATCTAAAATAGCATTATTTCTAGTAGGTTCCTTGACTATTTGGTGAAGAAAGCCATCTTAAACAGTTTCCAAAAAGTTTCTCCTACTTGGTTTGACTCCAGCATTTCCCATTCTATATGCCTGAAATTAATATCACCCATAATTATGACTTCATTAACAGCTGAAATCTTAATCTCATTGTAAAGTTTCTCATTAATTTCATCAGTATCATTTGGTGATCTGTAACAAATTCCCACTGAAAGCCTTTTTACTTTATATCCGCTAATAGAAACCAAAATGGATTCAATCTCCTTGCTATTATCTTTGATATCCTCAACTTCAACAGTATGTAATTCACATTTTACATATAAAGCCACTCCTCCCCCCTCTTTAATACTCTATCCCTTTTAAATATGCAGCTACAGCAGTAGTGATAATGCTCATTGGTACTTTGCTATGTAGTTCAATCAAGTTAGATCAATCAGATTAGTTCTCAGTTAAATAACTAATTTCATTATCACTCTAGAGGCACAAAATAATGCTATAGTATCTTATTCTGGAAATTAACCATATTTTATTCCTGCTTTGAAAGGTAATTCAACTTCAATCATGATAATGTGACTACATAGTAAATATTTCTTAAAATTTTTTGTAGTCACTAGTCACCATTACTATTTCTTAGAACTTTGAACAACTCTACAGATTAAAGATTAGATAGATGCTATTAGTTTGAAAAAAATATTTGTTATATTCTGAAAAAAAGTACAGATACTAAGAAAAAGTCATACAAAAACAAATGACAAGATTTGGTCAAATCATTTTCCTTTAATAGAGTAACAGCTAGAATATAATTAATAGTAATATATTTAGTGGAATTTATCCAGTAATGATAATTTCCAGAGATGTTAAATATTTAAAAAGATTTAAATGTTCTGGAACTAATAATATCTTTTGTTTTATCTTTTTTATTGTAGGTTTGGAAACTTTAGAAGCAGAACTGAATAAAGGTAATGTATATATATTTTCAAAGATATTATTAACCTTTGATACTTTTTTGTGCTTAATGCTTGGTTTGGTGGTTGGGACTACTGCATGCCTAGCTTGCTATTTGTTTGATACATATGTTGCCCAAATGAACACACCATGATTTTTTTAATATAATTTGCAATCTATATTTCTTGTGTATTTTTCTTGCATGAAAGAGATCTCTTAAATGAGTCAGGTTTTTAGTTTTAGAACAAGTGACATTATGAAAAATGTCTTGATCCTTTAGTACTAGAATCCCAAGCTTTCACTCCTATATAAAATATTAAGAAAAAACAAAAAACAGTTCCATCATTGTAATGTATGAGAACAATAGAGTGGATTTCTTTGTGGAATTATCAAGATAATAATAGAATAGACTGGGTGGTGGTGGGTGAATTTTATCTTGGATTCAACTGATGGTAGTGAGTGAGATAATATCTGGAATCAATAGTGCAATAATGATGTAAAGTGTCACTTGGGATCAAAAACGTGGTAGTGGAAGAGCTTAATCTGTGATTACAAAGGTGATAGTGGGTGGGATTATATATACTTGAAATCACTAGTGTGATAGAGAAGTGGATTTCACTTGTGATAAAAAAAGATAGGAGTGGTTAGAGTTTTATCTGGTATTAAAAAATTGTAGATTGGGATTACACTGAGAAACAGGGATGAAGCTATGCCATATCTAAAATCATAAGCATGTCTGAGAACACTATGACCAACACCTTTACAAGGTCTAGGATTCTGTGTGGTGGCTTCATTTGTAATGTAATAAAGAGAAGGAATTAATGTTTGAAATGAGATATTTTCTTTTCAAGTTTCAAACCACAAAATATGTTAACAAGCACATTTACAGTCATGAATTTCAACATAGTTTATTGAAACTGTGTGAAAATAAGGCATGACATAGCAAATGTGGGCATGTAGTGGGGTAGTGGAAAAACAATAAGTTGAATTATCTTTTTTGTACTTATTGATAGCATTTCTCTTAGAACTATCTACAAGCATCAGTTACTTTATTGTGGTACTAAATTGGTTTCATAAATACTGAATTCATTGGTAACTTAATACACTCTTCATATTTAAAAGTTGAATACATGCATGCCTAACTTCCAGCTAACCTGATCTGTAATATAACTGCAATTTGCACTCTGCTGCTGGTTTTCTGACACTAACATCTATAACCACCAAACTGTATGTTCACACTTGGCAGTTCCTCACACAGAAGGCCCTCTGGATGGCAGTCTCTATGCTACAGTCAGTAAGAAACCCCATGGCTCTTTGGATCAGTCTCAAACCACTGATGAACTGGGTGATCTTGAAGGACCCCACACAATTAGCATGGATTCTGGAATCTCAAGCTCTTCAGGGGCACAAGGACAATCAACTTTTCACTGTCTTCTGCCTGGTCAAACCAATGGAGTTAATGGTCCACCCTCACCAAACACAGTAGGTAGGTAGTCTGTTGTAGTCTATTCTCACCAAGTAGAGTAGATATGTCTCTTATGGTCCATCCTCATCAAGTACAATAGGTATGTAGTCTGTTATAGTCCATTTTCACCTTGTACAGTTGGTAGTTTGTTAGAAGATGTAACTTTGTTTCTGATATTCAGATCTCAATTAATTGTCTTAAAACTCAAAACAAAAAAATGATAAGACAATTTTTGTACCCATGATGTAAATATTATTTTTCATGTTATATCTGATACACAAGTGTCACAAATTGTTATAGATATAAATCTATACATTGTATACATACTTTGTATATGTACACTTTACATCATTTTTACCACGAAAAGGATTAAGAAATTTGGTTTGGTATTCTTATATTTGTAGATTTAATACAAATAGTTTGGTAAAACACCAAGAGGTAGATCTAGTTAGAAAGACTGATATCCTTAAACGTTATTTCTCAATGAAACAGGATAAGTGTGTATATGAACAAAAGAACCTATATTAAACTAAGAAACTTTCTGATGGAGTATTTTTAAAAACAAGTTAACTGCACGTTTTTTTCCATAATACTCTTAAACTGTAATTTCGTACACAGTAGTTGTCATTTTTTTCTCTACAACAAGCATTTAAAACATATTAACATAACATAATGTTTTAGTACAACATGGAACCTATTGGTCCATCTTAGCTGTTCCATCCTCTAAACTAAATTAAAATAATTAAAAAAAATCTTAAAACTAGCTCTTATCATTCATGTACTTATCAAGCTTTTTCTTAAACTCACTTACAGCTTATTAGGGAACCAGTATATTGGATATCACTACTGACAGACTAAACTGTAAAACTGTTATATACCATGCTAGACTACAGCTTACTGACAGACTAAACTGTAAAACTGTTATATACCATGCTAGACTACAGCTACAGTATATAGACTACAGTATATTGGATATCACTGTTGAGAGACTAAACTGTAAAACTGTTATATACCATGCTAGACTACAGCTACAGTATATAGACTACAGTATATTGGATATCACTGTTGAGAGACTAAACTGTAAAACTGTTATATACCATGTGAGACTACAGCTTATTAGGGAACCAGTATATTGGATATCACTACTGACAGACTAAACTGTAAAATTTTATATACCATGCTAGACTACAGCTACAGTATATTGGATATCACTGTTTAGAGGATGAAGATTTATTTAGCTAAAATTGTCAGAAAAAATAAATTGTCAACTCACTTTTGAATGTAAGACAGCAATGTGCTGTAAGTCACTAGTAAGCCATGAATCCAATGATTTACAAATGCTGCACAGTCTTTCTAATGGAGGAGCCAAGTGAGCTGGCCAACCAAAATCACGAACCTGAAAAATATCATAGTGTGGTAGTATAAAGTTTAGAATAAATCTATATATATATACACATAAACATATTTAAACTCCAAATTTGTATCTTCTATATGATAAATTGAAGGATAGTTTAGGTATTACAGAATATTTTGTTTAATGAACGGCAACAGTTTTTTTAACTAAATAAGGTTTTATATTTCCTTAACTCTATGGGCATGGGTGGGAGTCAAAGTGTACAAGCAATGACATTTTACAGAATGCCATTCAACATAGTATTATGTATTTGATGTCAGAGTTATCAACAATTCGTTTTACCCTAAATTGCTGATTTAGTGACAATTAGTGGTAGAGGAGAGTAAATACCACTTACAGTATAGTGGGATGCTGAATATGACTGTACACATGCATTTTGGAGGTTCTAGATGTTATGCAAGTGCAATATGCAAACTGTAAGATGGACAAAAGTATTTTCATTCTTCTCATAAACATCACCTTGCACTCTTGACTTTTCACAGTCTTAGTCAGACTGATGATGTCAATTCACAAATATATCTTGAGTACAAGCACCTTTGTAACTCATCATATTTGTTTGTGTAAAACAAACTTGTACATTTTACTAAAAGCATGCCATATTTTGTTTAAATATACATAGTAAATTCGTAATTATAGTCAATATTTCTTTTCAAATATGGGATCAGTTCGATAGATCAAGCCTGTACACATTTGATTAATTAGATCATTAACATTCACTGCAAGATGCCACAATATGTTCTTTGTGCAATGTTTTATTAATTTTAAGCATTTTAAAAACAAGGAATGTGTCTATATTCAAGAGAATATTTACCTGTGCATTCAGTTTTGACAGATCATGTCTCCTCTCAGAGAGATTGAAAACCTGAAAAATTAAATAATAAAATGACACATCAAATCTAAGCACATTCGGAAGTTATAAGGTATTTACTGCTTCTCCAAAAAAAGTACAATATATCTTCAGCTTATATATGAAAATGTACATGATGTCTTCCTTACCAGATTCAATGAAATGTGTCATCCAAAGCTATCAAGCTTTGTTAGGAGTTTTTTCTCTCAGTTGATCTGAACAGCTTTGTTAAATGGTATCAATAAAATCAGAAATAAATGTGAGTTTATGCAAATTAAACAAAACTCATTTTATTTTTATCGATAAAGTAATTTTGGTTTTATAAAGCAATGTTATTTTTGTTTCAGGCTCTTATGTTTCACGTTCTTTTGTTTAATGAAAACCAACAATGCAACCAGTATTTGTTCTTATAAAATGTATCAGTTTTTTTTTTAATAAAAAGCTGCAGTTTAATCAGTGTTTGTTGTTATAAAATGTAAAACCTTCTGTTTAATAAAAACCAATATAACCACATTTGTTCTTATAAAATGTAATATTTTTATTTGATAAGAACCAGCAGTGTAACCAGTATTTGTTCTTACAGTGTATCTAGAATTTGTTATTGTGGTACATAAAACCTTTTTGCTTCTTTATAGCACCCAAAAGTGTAACCAGAATTTCCTCTTATATGACATATTTTTGCTGCCACATAATAAATGGTAATATAACCAGAGTGCATTCTTATATAAACTGGTTCTTCAACTTTGTTGTTCATGAACTACCCATGTTTTCTTATCTTGGCAAACCACAATAGGATCAATACACTATGCTACCACTTCATTTCTGCAATCATACAACCTTTCCATCCACCACCTGAATGAAATCCAAGGACTAAAGACTGAAAACTGATGTTATAGAACATAATACATTTATGTTGTAATATAATACCCAGTTGTGAACCAGGATGTATTCTTATAAAAAGTAACACCATTTTTGCTGCTTTATAGAACCCAACAGTGTAACTAGTGTTTATCCTATAAAACCATTATATTGACAAACCCCTGTTTTTTAGTTTTCCATCTATTACAGTTCAAACAATATCTTGAAGCTATGCTCATACAATAATATAGGCTATGTCAGTGTGTGAACTTGCATATTTCATATGAATTATACAGTCAGTATTTTAAGTTTTACACATATGGCAATTATCCATTTTTTATGTGAACATTGTAAAAGTATTATCATTTGCGTCTCACGTGACATGTTCATGGGTGTACTTGAGTGCTATTTATAATAAAAAAGTCATATTTTCTTAACTGTTTAATCTAACTTACCGTATATTTATTTCCATGTTTTGTGCGTAGCATTCGAGCCACTTCTTTCAGGTTATGTCTGTATGTTGGATCAGTTCCCGATTCAGGAAAAGTAAGAACTGTTGTAAAGATGTTAAAACAGAAGTTTAAAACACTTTGTTTACATATATTAAGGATAAGATTAAACACTCTAATACATTAAAATTGTGAAATCAAATTACAGCGCAATTAAATTTAGCTTGTACAACTTATTTGTATTCAGAAATGGGAAATTAGTTAATGATTTGATTATTTTAGGATTAATCTTCTATGTTCCTCAAAAGTCTTTATTATTTAGATAGTCTTCCGTTGACTCAGTGATAAGTTCATGATTTATAACGCTATAATTCGGGGCTCGATTCCGCAAGGTGGGCACGGCGCAGGTAATCCATAGAGCATCTTTGCCCTAAAGCAAACAACATTGTTTAAATATACGTACGAATTCTTATCAATATATTTGAAACTGTATTTTATTCAAATTAATAGCTTAATATAAAAATTTTAGTTACAAGATGTAAAATGGGTGGGTTGTTAGATGTACTGTTTCAGTTACCTTGCATCAAATGTAACACAAACACGTGTACATGACGTGTACACCAAACACACGGAAAACAGTTATGCTGTAAGCCAGATTATTACAGAATACACATACCAGTCTGTTTAAAAACTAGGTTTTCATTAGTTACAAGTTTTATCACATCTGAATCAGTGCAATTTTCACTTACACTTCACTCAATAAAACTTAAAACTCTATTCTAGCGTATTATCCACAATACGTAAACAACAAACAGAAATACGATACAATGCAGCAAACAGTAAATGTTTTGTTATCATTTCCTTTTTGGAGGGTAACTATATATAAAACGTTATATCACAGACATACCGATAATTCGTTCTGTAATGTATGTTATGTCCATCATGAAACTGGGAGGCCTTTCAGTTTCTTTAGGATTTCTATGATGTTCTAACGATCTTGTGCCCGGGCTCCTCTGGACATAAAATACATAAAAAATTTTTAAAATAAACCTGAAAAAACGAATATTCTACATTTGTTCGATATTTTCATCAATATATAACAGAATAACGAGTGTAAACTGCTTATTTAAACTTTGTAAATAGCACCGAAAAATACTCATATAAGAAATAGAAAGGCTGAATTTTTTTTTCCCACAATGCTCACCTTAGAATAACAAGTTTGATGATGGTTACATAAAGAGGAAATAAATCATATAATGGTATCTTCTAGAATTATTTATATGATTTTACTACTCAATTAAGTTTAAGTACAGAGATCAAACTTATGGATGGCTTAGAGCAGGCAGCCCCTGAAGCCGAATATCTGAAACAAAGAAATCGAAAATATGTGTTACACTGTTGGGAAATGATCGATTGTAATGAACCAAAGATAGTATAGCCGTAATTAGATGTAAAATATGTACTCACCGGTCTTCGTGTGTGGGCTTGTCTCAAGCCTTCGTGACTTTGCTGGAAAAAAAAGAATAAAGTATATCATACTTTTCTTTTACCGTTTAAAAAACAACTCATCTGTAATTGAATATAAAAAGAACTGGTATGTTTCAATGTCATGAACATGTTTAAGCCATAATTTCAACGTTAATCAATTATAGAAACAACTGGGTAATGAAAAGTAAAAAAAAAAAAAAAA